GCCAAACGACATCCATCCGTTCTGCTGTATTCCTTGATCGATTTAGATTATACCTGTACATTCAATCGGTTGCTTATGTGTGCTCAATTGTTGGTGTAAACCTCTTTGCGTGATCTCTTCTTCTGAATTGCTATTCCTGGAAGCGGAGGGCTTGTAGCGGACGAGAGGCCGCCCCTCATCATATCATAACGCGCAAAAGACGACTGGCCCAGTGAAGCCATTCACGGCCCCAACCCTGGACTAGTCTCTCCACTGGGGCCAATCCGTCTTTGCGTTATTTAACACTCCGGACCTGTTGGCTTCATCAGATTCGTCGTTAAGCTTTAGAATAGATTCAGGGCCATTTTTTTTAACAATCCGCTCTTTCTTTCAGAAGAACTGTTTGAGAATACCCCAACACCAAAGTTTCGACGATCATCTTGAAGCTTTTTCTGTTTCCCGCCGATGAAGGAAAAAAATGTTTCTGGGATACATGGCTCATCCTAAAACGTGATTGGTCGATGCCGAATGCTTTGTTCTTCACCTTCTATTTTTTATTTATTTTATATTCTCGGTTTTGTCGTGTTTTGGGAGCTCTAATCTCATCGACATCCACAATACTAAAGTAAGGTCCAGTAAGTGTGAGCTTCCTGGACCGAATCATTACGAAGTAACCTTTTACGAGCGCGCTTGCCTACTATACAGATGGCGGAGTGGCCTTTACCCCCTCTGTCCACTAGGACGACGCCACTCTACATTGATTTTATCGGATACTGATATGATTTTGTGGTCACCGTTCACTTTCGTGTCAAATTTATCGTCCGCCTGAGTTTGTTCTGCCTAGAAATTTCTGATTCAGATGTCAACCCGCTGGTAAAACACTTGTTCTCAAACCCTTCCTTTGGTTCCGCATAGCGAAGAGGAAAGGAAAAAGCTTATCCAATCACACTTCAGAAATGTTTCAACTAGCACTACTATACGGAGTTGTTCTAAGTGCATTCTGCGCAAACATCTTAGTATGGAGTCCGGCTAATGGCTATAGTCATGTTCGTTTTATGGGAGCTATTGCTGATATTCTCTTCAAAGATGGACACAATGTGGTCTGTTTCTCGACTTTTCTCTTTCAATTATTCTACAGCTTGGTGGCGCGTGGTATATTCATATGTGTACAGTCGTATTCCGGGCAGCTGATTAAGGCGGTCAAAGGGTCGCAGACGCGGCTGCGGCGCGTCACGACCGCGGCGATCAGCTGTTTCCAGCCTATTTGGCCATTTTCTCCCTAATGTATTATTTATTTTTCCAAGGTAAGTTTTTTTGTCTTTATGAAGTATATTAGGACGTGGATTCTTTCTTGTTTTTGTAATGAATGTTTTTGCGATTTTTTTGGGTATTTGTTCAATTGTTTGTTTAGTTATTTAATTGTTTGCAAATTAGAGGAATATCACCCCATATATATAATTCGCTTTGTTTGTTTGTTTGTTTGTAAGTTTGTTTGTCTGTCCGGAAATTCGGTTCGACCTGAAGAACGACTTAGAGAGGTCGGGTCAAGGTGGGGATGGGTAGAGCATGGGACAAGAAATAAAAAGCACACTTGACCTATGCGAAGCCCCGCCCACAGTGGGCGGGGCACTCGCTGAAATTTTGGGGTTCCGCAGAAAAATGTTCATAATTCGCTTCCGGAGCAGCCTAAGATGGTGAAACAAGGAATAGGGTTAGTAAGGAGTCGCCAGACTAACTGTGGCAGACCATCCTTAACTATGGGGGGGCGTACTTAAGGTGGGCGGTGCTTCGCATAAAACTCAGTAACTCGGTTCGCGAGAGTGTTCAGAAGCCGCAAAAAGCTCAGTGCAGAATGTAAATATCTGGCGAGTATTGGGCATGCTCAAAATGTGTTGAGATCCGCCCACAGTGGGCGGAGCTTGCCCTAAACCGCAGGATACTCACTTTAAAAGTTTGTAGCTCGGTTCCAGAGCACTGCAAAGACCGGAAAAACGTGCGTCAAGGTTCGGCAAAGAGTTTTGCGCCGTGAGGCTGTGGTTGCAAATAAACACTGTGGGCGGAAGCTGCTCGAGGTGGGCGGAGCCAGACAAACTGCTGCAGAAGCCGGTTGCCAAGAACACTTCAGACACCGGAAAAAAGTGGAATAAGGTCAGCAGAGGGTCGAAGGTGAGGACCGTGGGGCAAAAACGTTGTGGGCGGAGCCTGCTTCGAGGTGGGCGGAGCCAGACAAAAGGGTCTGTAAAACGGTTCCAGAGCACTCCGAAGACCGGAAAAAGTGAATTAAGGTCAGCAGAGGGTCGCCGGTGAGGATCCTGGCACGAAAATTATGGCGTGCGCCAGCCCGAGGTGGCGGAGCAGACAAAAATTCTCCAAAACTCTCCCAGGGCACTTCGAAGACCCGGAAAAAAGTGGATTAAGGTCAGCAGGGGGTCGCCTGTGAAGAGTGCGGGGCACAAAAAATTTGTGGGCGGGGTCTGCTCTAATCTAATGGCGTCAGCCGGCAAGGCGACTGGTTAATCATAATTTACCTTGTGAAGACAAGGAACAACTAACCTCAAGAAAAGCAGCCAAAAACAGTGAAAATTAGGGAGAAAATGGCTAAATAGGCTGGAAACAGCTGATCGCCGCGGTCGTGACGCGCCGCAGCCGCGTCTGCGACCCTTTGACCGCCTAATCAACTGCCCGGATGACGACTGTATGCTGCAAATGCCCTCCTTATATGGCGAAGCGACCACGGCTCCCTGTTTGGTCCGATACCCTCTTGCCTCATTGCTTACCCCTTCTTGGTTTCAGTTCATATTTAGTGCCTTAATAAAAGCGCAATTAGTGCCTTAATAAAAGGCTGAAAAACAAATAGCAAAGGGGCCAGGTGCATGGAAATAGTTTTGAGTGATAGTGTTGGGTCTTCCCCCAATGACAAACGGCCTAAGTTTCGACTCTGAAAGTAGGAAGAGCTGGAATTTTTTCCTACACCAGTACGGAGCGGAAAACCTTTCCGAAAGCTATCTCAGCACAATTCTCACGTCGACACTTAGAAAACTTCGGTTTTGGTAGTTTGGGAAGAAGGATTAGAAGGGTTTGTCGGATTAAAATGATTAGAAATGATGTCTCAGTCTTGCCCTTAAGCTTTGATGCGATCGATATTTTTTTAACGAAAGTGTGGTTGCCTCAGCTCATACTCTGACTCCTGTAAGGGCGTGTATACGGGTTTAAATGTGGGCGTGGCGGCGGCTGCGTATATGATGAGAAACTTCAGTCGAGAAACTCACCGGCGAGCGCACGCGACGCTTGCTTACTGTAGCGGCAGCGATATACTCGGCGAATAAGAAACAAAGGGGAGCGCTGTGCCACTGCAGTCTTAAGGAACAAGAGACTTTTTGGTAGTTTGTCAATGAACTTTAAACGAAAGAGGACAAGGGAGAAGGCAAGAAGTAACAAATGCAGCAGTAGGAGATGGAAAGCAGCTCAAAAGCATGTTCCAAGAACAGGCTAACATTTCTCAGGAGATAAGCGGGTTCTACTGTGATTACCGATTGTGTTTACAACTGCGCACATCGATCTCCTGACCAGAGGTGAACGTGGGTTGACAAAGAGCGATCTGTCGAATCCTGAAGAGTTCTTGCCTGTCAGTATCCAGTCCTTCGCCATACCATCACAGCAGCACCGCTCGGCAAGCGCTGCGTGCGCCTTTTTTCTCTCCTCCTACTATCCATAGGGGCCAGGGTCTTTAAATGTCTTTTGCGCCGGCTGCGGTCTCTTATG